TCTTAGTATACCGCGAGCTGCTGCTCGCGGTATACTAAGACGCCGCAGAGCCAGCTGTATACTGCGGAGCCAGCTGTATACTGCGGCGTCTCAGGATATACTAAGCATAGGGTGATGGAAGGACGCTAGTTTGTGTTCTCCCGTTACCCTAAGGAGAACTATGGGGAAAAGCCTTAACCCCATAATTCTCCTTTAATTGTTCTCAATAACAAAGAGATTTGAGGCAACTGGATTTGCTGTATTTTTCTTGAAAACCAGCTGGTTGGATGACCAGTGAAACGTGTTCAAGAAAAATACAGCAAGTCCAGTTGCCTTGACTTATTTTTTACAGATATACCATGACCTGGATAAATGAGAACCTTCACAGACAAAGAGATTTGAAGGCTCAATTTACAAAGCCAACACTTAAGGACACTTATATTCAGGAAACAGAGAGTTATTTTTAGTTGCGTCCAATAGAGTTGAAAATTACAGTCACATGGTACTTATCCTTGTTCAAAAACTTTGGATCACTTCTGGGTCCAGTGATCGGAGGGAGATCAGCACATTCCCCTTCAGATCACTGAACCCAGAAGTGACGTTTATTACATCACCTCCGGTGTCACTGTCATTTTTCCAGCTGCTGTTGCTGTAGAAGAAGCTGGTAAAGCAGATCTCTGCTTCGTCAACTTCTTTGGGGGTCCACAGGTGACATTAGGGGTCTAATAGACTCCTGATGTTTCTGTAAAGGGGACCTGTCACAATGTGAAAAAAATTAAGAAAAGTTAAAGTTATATAAAAAAATACAGTCATATTAAAAAAAAATAAAACAACCAAAAACCGCCCCCACATACATGCACAAACAAATGCATGCATGCATGTATGTATGGGTGGGGACTTTAAAAAAATTTTTTGTTTTTTTTATTCTTTTTTTATGTGTAACTTTACATTTTTTAGGGGGGGACTTTAATTTTTTTTTCACTAAACTTTATTGCTATCACATACAGGGGCTAATAAAACCCCCTATGTGATAGTAAAATATGTGACAGGTCCTCTTTATGGAGACACCAAGACCCCTAATGTCACCTAGGACCCCCCCAAAAGAAGCTGATGAAGCACAGATCTGCTCCATCAGCTTCTTTCCAGCGTCTGAAGCTGGAGAGTGACACAAGAATGCGGAAGTGATGTATTATACAACACTTCCGCATTCTTTCAGAGGAGAGGGGACCGGAGGGAGCTCGTGTAACGATCTCCCTCTGATCCCCTGTGACACAGGCACCATGCTGACCCCGGGCTCGCACCGGGCACAGCGGAGCCCGGGACCAGCAGGACAACGGCGGGGGGAGGCACCGATCGTTACCCCATACAAGCGATCCGCCGGCTCTACAGTCGGCAGATCGCTTGTATGTTGACGGGTATCGCTGCCTCTTTTTAAATATCGGGCGTT